CTCTTCGTAGCCTGGCTCGGTTGTTGGTATCCAGGTACTAAAGCGTCCGGGGTGAAAAAGTTGAATGAAAAAAGTCGAGCAAGGAAAAAACTAAGACGTTGGTAAATGTGTTAAATGCCGAGTTTTGATTAAACGGTTATTAAAAGTAAAAAAGTCACAGCAAACAGCACGACAACGCGGAAGTGCATTTGCCAAGTTACTCTCTCAGAATATCATAACAGACCTGCAACTTTGACTTTCTCCACTTCCGCTCTGCCTTTCTGCAATTTCTCTTTAATTGATTAGTTTCCTCACTTATCCAAGGGGCTCTCCTTTTGGATGTGGCCTTTTTCAACTTTACTGGAGCTATGGCATCAATGGTTGCCCTTAATTTGCTATTAATGTTATCAATTAAATCATCACAAGAGGAAGGCAGAATAGGTGATGGTGTATTGTTCATACACTCAATAAAATCTGTAGCAACTTCAGAGGTAAGATAGCGTTTCTTAATAATGCGTTCAGTATTATCCTGTATTATGGGCAACAAGGTAGTAAAAAATAAACAGTGGTGATGTTGCTTTATATGATCAACAATAGAGGATATGTCAATAGAAAGCCCCTTGGTAATAACCAGGTCCAGAGTATGGCCGCGGTTATGGGTGGGCCCAGTAACATGGGATTAGGACGTGGATAGTGAGTAGTACAAAAAGGGATTCCTGTAGAGAGCCCAACAGCAGTGAATCATGGGTAATGTAGTGTGAAGAGGGTGAATAGACTACAAAGGCAGCAGCTAGTTGAAAGCCCAGTGGATTAGTATTGTGTTGGTTTGAATGGAGCCTTGTTGTACTGTAGGGTTAGTTAGCTTGCCTAGGGGAACTGTGAACTGAGCATGTCAGGTATGTTTCTCTATGTCAACATGACCTTGGAGCCTCAACAGCCTTGCATAGCCTTGTGTGTGTGTGTGTTTCATGTTTTTGTGTCATTGTATGTTACGTCATTCTTCTGTCGCGTCTGTGTGTGTCTGTGTGTCACTCTGCTTGGCAAATTAGTTACCCACACTCGTACAGCAGAGTTCGGCCTGTATTGTCTGTGCTCAGAGGCCACACATTTATCCTCTCTCTCTGTCTCTCTGTCTCTGTCCCTCTCGCTCTTATCCCTATCTCTCCCTCCCTCTTCTTCCTCGATCTCTTCTCCCTCTCTTCTCCCTCTCTTCCCCCTCTCTCCTTCTCTCTCTCTCTCTCTCTCTCTCTCGCTCTATCTCTCGCTTTCTCTCTCTCTCGCTCTCTCTCTCGCTCTCTCTCTCTCGTGCTCTCTCTTTTGCTCTCCCTCTCTCTCTATTAGAACAGAGCATGAAAGACTGATACATTCTGAGCGGAGGAATGGAGTGAGGGGAAAGAGAGAAAGGAGAAGACATTCAGTTCACTCACAGGGAGCCTCAATCTAATCTATAGAAAGAGAAACAAAAGACAGAAACAGATGGACCGACGGACAGACAGACAACCTTGGCCACACTGAGATATCTCACTTTGTACTAATTGTATTTATTTTCATCTTTTAGTAAAGGTCTACAGAAATTCCTTCACAATTTTACAACAGTTGGTTTCCTTCAGCTCAAGTGATTTTCCTCCACAGTTTTGAATGTAATCTATAGTATGTAGTAGAAGTTTAGAGAACAGTATGGGGAAGACCTGTGGCTGCTGACACAGAAGGATTCAACCAAACACAACTTCCCGAGTCAGCGATCCTATTGTGATTGTACAATACGCGCACGCACACATGCACGCACGTGCACCCACAAACACACAGTATAAACACTCAGCCCCCTCCTGTACTCCCTGTTCACCCATGACTGCGTGGCCACACGTCTCCAACTCAATTATCAAGTTTGCTGATGACACAACAGTGGTAGGCCTGATTGCCATCATTGACGAGACCGCGAGGGAGGAGGCAAGAGCCCTGGCGGAGTGGTGCCAGGAAAATAACCTCTCCCTCAATGTCAACAAAATAAAGGAGCTGATCGTGGACGACAGGAGACAGCAGAGAGAGCATGCCCTCATCCCCATCAACAGGGCTGCAGTGGAGAGGGTGAAAAGCTTCAAGTTCCTCTGAGTGTACGTCACTGACGACCTGAAATGGTCTATTTACACAGACAGTGTGGTGAAAAAGGCGCAACTGCGCCTCTTCAACCTCAGGAGGCGGAAGAAATTCGGCTTGGCACCTGACCTTCACAAACTTCTATAGATGCACCATTGAGAGCATCCTGTCGGGCTGTATCACCGCCTGGTACAGCAATTGCACCGCCCACAACCGCAGGGCTCTCTAGAGGGTGGTGCGGTCAGTCCAAAGCATCACCGGGGGCACACTGCCTGCCCTCCAGGACATCTACAGCACCCGGTGTCACAGGAAGGCCAAGAAGATCCCGTGGTCCCGTGTAGCTCAGTTGGTAGAGCATGGCGCTTGTAACGCCAGGGTTGTGGGTTCGATTCCCACGGGGGGCCAGTATGGAAAAAAATAATGTATGCACTAAGTCGCTCTGGATAAGAGCGTCTGCTACATGACTAAAATGTCAAATGTAAGATCATCAAGGACCTCAGCCACCCGAGCCACGGCCTGTTCACCCTGCTACCATCTAGAAGGCGGATACAGTACAGGTGCATCAAAGCTGGAACAGAGAGCCTGAAAAACAGCTTCCATCTCCAGGCCATCAGACTGTTAAACAGTCACCACTGGCCGACCTCCGACCAGTACCCTGCCCTGAACCTTACTCACTGTCACTAGCTGGCTACCACCTAGTACTCTACCCTGCACCTTACAGACTGCTGCCCTATATACATAGTCATTGAACACTGGTCACTTTAATAATGTTACATACTGTTTTACCCACTTCATATGTATATACTGTATTCTAGAGTGTGCAAAGCTGTCATCAAGGCAAAGGGTGGCTACTTTGAAGAACTCAATTATAAAATATATTTTGATTTGTTTAACACTTTTTTGGTTACTACATGATTCCATATGCGTTATTTCATAGTTTTGATGTCTTCACTATTATTCTACAATGTAGAAAATAGTAAAAATAAAGAAAAACCCTTGATTGAGTAGGTGTGTCCAAACTTTTGACTGGTACTGTATATTTACATTGCCAAAGCAAGTGAAATAGTTAATAAACTAAAGTGAAATAAACCATTTAAAAAAACAGTACAGTAAACACTCACAAATGTTCCAAAAGAATAAAGACATTTCAAATGTTATATTATGTGCAAATAGTTAAAGTACAAAAGGGAAAATAAATACACATAAATATGGGTTGTATTTACAATGGTGTTTGTTCTTCACTGGTTGCCCTTTTCTTGTGGCAACAGGTCACACATCTTACTGCTGTGACGGCACAATGTGGTATTTCACCCAATAGATATGGGAGTTTATCAAAATTGGGTTTGTTTTCAAATTATTTGCGGGGCTGTGTAATCTGAGGGAAATATGTGTCTCTAATATGGTCATACATTTGGAAGAAGGTTAGGAAGTGCAGCTCAGTTTCCACCTCATTTTGTGAGGCCTTTCTCAATAGCAAGGCTATGCTCACAAAGCTTTCCTTATGTGTCTCTCTCTCTCTGACATTGCTCGTTTTGATAGTTTTTATCTTTATTTTTGGGATTTGTGCGTATTGCTAGGTATTACTGCACTGTTGGAACTAGAAACACAAACATTTTGCTGCACCGGCGATAACATCTGCAAATATGTGTACACGACCAATAAACTTTTTATTTGATTTGAACACACAGTCAAGGCCTCTCTGTCCATTAAAGGTACAGTATGTAGCTTTGTGCACGACTTTGTGTGTTGGAATGTGCCAGTATTCCTTTGAATCCTCCTAGTAGTTGTATTCAATCAATCAAATCAAATGAATTTATAAAGCCATTTTTACATCAGCAGATGTCACAAAGTGCTGTACAGAAACCGAGCGTAAAACCCCAAACAGCAAGCAATGCAGAAGCACAGTGGCTAGGAAAAACACCCTAGAAAGGCAGGAACCTAGGAAGAAACCTTGAGGAACCAGGCTCTGAGGGGTGGCCAGTCCTCTTCTGGCTGTGCCGGGAGGAGATTATAAGAGTACATTGCCATTAAGGCCAGATCGTTATTCAAGGTGTTCAAAGGTGACCAGCAGGGTCAAATAATAATCACAGTGATTGTAGAGGGTGCAATAGGTCAGTACCTCAGGAGGAAATGTCAGTTGGCTTTTCATAGCCAAGCATTCAGAGGTCGAGACAGCAGGTGCAGTAGAGAGAGAGAAAGTCGAAAACAGCTGGTCCGGGACAAGGTAGCACGTCCGGTGAACAGGTCAGGGTTCCATAGCCGCAGGCAGAACAGTTTAAACTGGATCAGCAGTATGACTAGGTGGACAGTAGTCATCAGGCCAGGTAGTCCTGAGGCTTGGTCCTAGGGCTCAGTTCCTCCGGGAGGGGAGGGAGAGAGGGAGTTAGAGGGAGCATACTTAAATTCACACAGAACACCAGATAAGACTGGAGAATTACACCAGATATAACAGACTGACCCTAGCCCCCCCAGCACATAGACTATTGCAGCATAGATACTGGAGGCTGAGACGGGGAGGTTGGGGGAGATTGATTGATTGATTCTAGTTGTATTCTCTTGGATTGGGAAGTGTGTTTTTGTATGTGTGTGTCATACCCTTGTACCCTGGTATCTGTTGCCTATATATGAGCTGACTTGTACAATATGAGATAATCTGGTATAAATAAAGTTGCCCACTTATTTTGGATTGTTCGGTTTAAATAAATAGGTCTCACTCACCAGATCATTCTTTAACTAATCTCTCGTGGACAGACTACGTAAATGGTACCGTAGATGCACAAGATAATGAGCAGCATTAGTCACTCAGTTTCAAGAAATGGTTTCGTACTATGTATATTATGCGTATGATATGGTTTTATAATGTAATATGTATTATATTATTAATTTATATATTTAAAATATCTGTTCGTTTTTGTGTAGATTCGTCAATGTTCCCAGAGGATGAAGGTATAGAGATGGATTCAGTCAGCTGGACTTCCAACACTAAACTCCCTGGCACCCAATCAGAGACCCCCATTTCTTCTGGACGCTTCTCTTCCTGGGTGACCTTCGACGATGACGAGGAGGACAAGCCCCACCTCCACCGCCGGGAGCAGCCATCCCACATCCGATTGGATAATCTCAGCCCCTTCCAGGATGCCAACAGTAACCTGATTGGTTCTCCTCCCAACGTTTGGAAGCAGAACGGGAACCAGCAGAACCAGAACCGCCACCTCCTGGACCTGACGCCAGACGGAAACCCTCCTAGAACCCTTCTGACTGAACCTATAACAGCTCCCCTGCTCCCCGGCAGCACTAAACCCTACACCAAGAAGAACCCTTTCCTGTGTGAAGAGTTCAATGACATCCAGCCCTCTCCCATCAACCCCTTTAGTTCCTACTTTGACTGTAAAAAGGAAGTGACATCACCGATGATCCAGAGTAATGGCTCCGCCCACCACCGGGAGAGCTCTCCCTGTGCCTTCTCCTTTAGCTCTCCTTTCTTCCAGTCTCTCAGCTCCCACAGCCAAGAGGCCAAACGAGAGTCCATTCTAGTTTTCTCCTCCGAGTTTGAGCCCACCAGAGGAGGAGGAGGAGGAGGAGAGACTGTCAGCCATGTCACTCCTCCCTTGGACAGACTAGACCTGGATCAGCTGAGAAACCTCCAGATCACAGACCCAGACGATCCAGGCAGCCCCACTCTGCCTGATGACTCAGTGGAGGATGCGGAGGAGGCAAAGGAAGATGGGATGGAGGGAGAGGATGAGAGCGCCCCCTACCTCCCAGATCACATGACCTCCCAAGATGGCTGGGCCATGTTGCTCCGTATACCAGAGAAGAAGAACATCATGTCGTCACGCCACTGGGGGCCTATCTATGTCCGTCTGTCTGACAACGGCGTGCTCCAGATGTTCTACGAAAAAGGTCTGGAAAAACCCTTCAGGACCCTGAAGCTGGACCCTCGCCATGAGGCGGCTGAACACCGCCTGCAGAACTACGAAGAAGCCGGCCGCGTCCACACACTCAGTGTGGACCTCGTCCAATACCGCGAGAGGAGACGAATCCAGCCGAAGTCGCCCGTCACCCACCAGCCAATCCGTGAGCAGCTGGTGAAGCTGGGCACCACCTGTTACCACGACTTCCTGAGTTTTCGTCACGCTCTGGTGGAGGTGCTGAGGCAGTTGCCGGCAGTGACGGGCGGGGCGTTGCCGGGGACGACGGGGTCGCCCATAGGGGCGGGGCTGACAGAGGAGGAGGTGCAGGTGGAGGTGAGGGACGAGTTCTACGGGACGGTCGCCGCAGGAGATGGGAGGATTCTGAAGCAGCTTGTGATGACTCGTGTGCACGTGCTAGCCTTCCTCTCTGGGTCGGCAGGCTGCCGCCTCGGACTCAATGATGTGCAGGTAAAAGAGAAGGAGAGAAAGAGAGTGGGTTAAAACAGACGTTCAGTTACACGAGTGAAAGGGGAGGGTGGTTCATGTTAGGTAGCTTATAGGTGTGTGAAAGAGGGATTTTTGTAGGGCTCAAATTGTAACCATTTTGATAGATAATTGCAGTGGAGGCTGCTGAGGGGAGGATGGCTCATAATATTGGCTGGAATGGAGTCAATGGAATGGTATGAAACACATCAAACATGGTTTCCATGCGTTTGATGCCATTCCATTGACTCCATTCCAGCCATTATTATGAGCCGTCCTCCCCTCAGCAGCCTCCACTGAATCATTTGGATGGTGAGATGTGTACACATCAGAATATTCGCCCTAGAGTTCTGCAGACACTTATTCAGAGAAAGTTACAAACATTTAAATGCATGTATACATGAAAGTGTTAAACCCCTCTCCCGATGTTGTTCGTCCAGGTCAAAGGTAAGGAGGTGGTCTCCAGACACGACATTATCCCCAACACCACCACACGCTGGATCTGCTTGCGTGACTGCGAGCTTCACGACGAACACGCAGACGAACTAGAGTTCCTGTCGTCACGCCAAGTTGTCTTCACACCGCCACCCTGCCGCCGCTTCCAGCTGCTCGCCTTCCGCACGGCTTTCGCAGAGAAGACCCTCCCCTTCACGCTGCGCACCGTCGCCTCCGTCCGCGGCGCCGAGGTCACCCTGCAGTCCTGGCTGCTGATGTCACAGGGGTTCTCATCCAATCGGGACGCGTTGAACCTCATCCCCTGCGAGAATGTGGCGGTAAAATTATAATTGAATATCGTGTCTCCAACAGTTTTATTAATGAACTTCACTTCCCTCAGTCATTTGCTAACATTGATTATCATGCCTACCCCTAGATACGCTACCCTATCCCTGAGATTTGGGCCAAGAACTTCCGTCGGGACGGGGTGATGGGGGAGAGGTCACTGAAGGCGAGGTTCAACAAGGGTGCCAGCTTCGGCACGGCGAGTACTTCCGGGTCAGAGCCAGTGATGAGGGTGACCCTTGGCACGGCCAAGTATGAACAGGCTTTTAAAGCTGTGGTGTGGAGGCTCAGCCGCCTGCCTGACAAAAACTCTGGTAAGAAGTAGGGACGTTGTTGGGGTAATACTCAGTATGATAACGATCTCTATTCTCACTGTATAAATGCAAAAATACACAGCTATTTCACTAGCGATGCACAAACCTTTGGTAAGGAGGGAAAGAGTTTGAGGCGATACCCTGCTATTGTCACTGTGAAAAGGGCTAGATCTATAGTTGTTTTACCAGTCACACCTGACAGCAGAGAGATGGCTCATTTCGGACACTATGGGCTGGTTTCCCAGACACAGATTAAGCCTGGTCTAAAAATGAATGTTCAATGGAGAATCTCTATTTAAATAGCTCTTTAGCTATTTCACTAGGCGTAATCTGTGTCAGGGGAAACTGGCCCTAAATATCTATACATGTGCGGAGGATCAGGTCCATCCCCTTACATTCTCAGTGCCAGTCAGTGTTAGTGGAGCTGGTTTATATTTCACCCAGCTCAGAGGGACAGGACATGGGGGATGTCCCTATGTCCTGTCCCTATTTCACCCAGCAGTGAGAGATGATGAGCATTGATCTGTTTCTGCTGTCATTACACTGTGCAGACTGTCAATAGTCCTTATCCCAGGCACTGTCAATATCATAGTGTGCGTATGTGTTGTAGAGTTGTTTATGTGTGTGCATGCAGGCATGTATCCGTGAATGATCGCGTGCATCTGCGCCTCTGCGTGTGTGTATGCGCCCATCATCTCTCACTGTGTGTGCACTCGTGCACGTGCCTGTGCATGTGTATGAGTTTGTGTGTTCTCCCTGGCCCCAGTCCAGTGTTGGTATGTCTCTGTCAGAATGCGGTCCCCTCCAGGCCTTTCAATAGGCTGTCAGCATGGCTGCCTGTCCTGAGTACTGATTGGCCAGACAAAGCCCTGGCTGTCACCATGCATTACCTCACAAACCCACAGGCCACAGGCTTCTATTGTAAATACATGCTCTGCCACGGGCTGCCCCCCCCCCCCCCCCCTTCTATTGTGGGCCCCTCTCTTTCTTCCCTCATTCTCTCCCCCCTTTCTTCTTTCTCTCTTTACCCTCTGCCTCTCTTCCCCCTCTCTCACTTTTCCTCTCCTTTCCCCTCTCTTTAGCTCTCGCCCTTGCTTCAGCTCCTCTCCCTCCTCCTCATCTCCCCCTCTCTACTTAACTGGGCCAAGCCTGCCCTCCATTTTCTCTCTCTCTTCTCTTTCTTTTGTCTGCACCATCTTTTGTCTTTCTGTCTGCCTTGCTTTTTCTTTCTCTCTCTTCTTTGTGTTCCTTCTTTTCTTTCTTCATGCTCATTCGTCCCTTAGTTATATGTGTGGTACAGTCCACACCATGATGTCAACTCTGGGGCTGTAATTCCTTGCACCACAAATGAGAGAATCATGGTGGTATGCTGGTTAACATTTCACTGCTACAGTCCTCTTCTCAAAAGACAGTGTGTACAACAGAGGATATTCTATCTGACCTCTGACCTCACCTCATGGCACTTCCTGTTTTGACCCCTCTGGGTGGCCCGTCCCGTCCGTGCTCAGTGTTATGATGTTCTTGGCATAACTCACCCTCTCTGTGGCCCTGTCCAGAGACAACTGCTAGCCCCTTCCCCTAGGCACTTCATGTAGACCTGAAAGAATTGGATAGGTATGGTAATAGTTGTCACCTGATAAGTTTGATGTAGATTGCAATATTGCTTACACCTATCCAATCTACACATGGTTAGGGGTAAGGGTTTGCTCTCCCTTTCTTTCTGTGCTCTGTGTGTGTGTGTGTGTCTGCGTGTGCGGACCCACCAGGAGGACAATCATGCTCGACCCAGAGTGATCGCTGATGATGATGAATGTGTGTGTTTGCGTACGAGGTGTGTGTTGATATGTGTGTTAATGTATGTGTGTCTCTCCCCCTGGCAGCGTTGGGTCACCCCCACACCTTCTTCTGTCGTCTGGAGCTTGTTTCGGACCGGGAGGTGCCAGCCTCGCTGCAGAGCCACCTAGAGGTAGAGTTTGACATGCCTGCCGCCTCTGCCTCCAAAGCCACCGTCCGCTCCCTCTCTGTAGAGGACAGGACAGATGTCAAGAAGTGGATCAACTACAAATCACACTACTCCTACCAGGTAATAGACCAGGGTGTTTGTGTGAGGAGTTCTAGCCTTTTGTGAATGGGCTGACATGGTAAAATGACATACACACACCCAAACACACACGTTGGGTGTCCTCCGTAACCTTCTGGCTCAGCCACGGGAGCTGTTTTCTGTGTGTGTATGTAATGTGTAATTAGGCACGATGAGCAACCTCTCTGGCTCCCACTAACAGTAGCTAACACAGTAGTCAGCACAGTTGCTGCAGATCAACACAAACAACAATTAACGCAGGGCCCGTATCCACAAAGCATCTCAGAGTAGGTGTGCTGATCTAGGATCTGTCCATATAGTCTTATTCATAATGATCGAAAAGGCTAAACTGATTATAGGTCAGCACTCGTACTCTGAGACTCTTTATGGATACGGGCCCAGGCCACACGTACAGTAAGAAAGCCCTGTTATCATATAGTACAACAGTAGGATAACCATGTTATTATACAGTGAGCTACGCTATAGTAGTAATTATAGCAGTGGTTTGGTTCTTCTAAAAGTATTTTAGGTGAGTCTCAAGGACCGTTCAGATTAACGATTTTTAAACAAGGTCAATATCCTTCACGTTGGTTAATATAAAGTAATTTATATTGTAAAGTTCACTGTGTGTACAGGTTAATTCCCACGTGTACACTTAGTGGAAAGCTTCAGGAGCACAGTGAGTGTTAGACAGATGACAGCTGGTAAGGATCAGCTAGTGGTATATAACTAGCGTGGCTAGCCAGAGCCGAGTCCAACCCAGGGATCTCTATCTATATCCAGGTCAAGGCATCAGCCAGGGTAGACACCTCACCAGATCAACCTGCTTCATGTGGTAGGCAGCGCTACGACACTAACCTCTGCTCAGACTTTCCTCTACCTCCGACTTCTCTCTTCTCTAAACAGAGACATAGATGGATTGCTTTGGTTGTGTGTGGGAATGTAGCATATTATCTATCTATCTGTCTGTCTGTCTGTCTGTGTCTGTCTGTCTGTCTGGTCACTGATCTATCTCGTCACTGATCTATCTCGTCACTGATCTAAATCTATCTATCTCACTGTATGGGCTATGATCGCCACCTTGTGGCCAAAGACAATCACACCTTCATTTAAGTAGACCGTATCGCTCACTGACGTTCTTATACAATACAACTTTATGTCCATTAGAGTTACAGCGAACAATGGAAATGTGTCTTCTGCTCTGTTCTCAACCCCCCCCCGACAGCACACGTCCCACATACATTTGAGACGAGCACAGGGTCAAGCTGCGGTGCAGTTCTTGGTTTGAGACTCCACAACATCTATATACTTTAGAGATCACCTTTAGTGCTTCTAAGCAGTAGGCCTCCATAGGTGTCCTTGTGTTTGCCTTTCTGACCATGTTGTCCCTTCTGTCCCCCAGGTGCCTATAGAACAGAAAACAGGTGGCCTCTCAGAGAGCAGCAGCCCTACACTGGACCAGGACCAGCCTGGAGAATGTGCACAGCAGTGAACACACGCAGACGGACGGATGCAGGGAGGGCGGGAGGATTTCATTACTGTTTATTTCACAGGAGAAGGGAGAAAAGTCACTTTTTGCACTTTGAAGAAACTGTACCGGAGGACGAGTTGGTCGATGTTTGTGCATAGACTGGATGTAGACTGGATGTAGACTGGACATAACTGATCGTAGACTGGACATCAACTTGACATAGACTGGGTCTAGACTGGAAGTACAATGGTCGTAGACTGGACATAGACTAGATCTAGACTAGACAGACTGGTTATAGACGGGTCTTAGACTGGATAAAGACTGGATGTAGACTGGGTATGACTAGATGTAGACTAGATAAACTATCACCTGGCAGTTTATTAGGTACACCACCCTGTTCACGAAAATGGATCTCTCCAACAGATAGTGAGTCACGTGACCATGGCTTGCTATATAAAGCAGGCATCGAGGCATTCAGTTATTGTTCGATTGAACGTTAGAATGGGCAAAACAAGTGACCTAAGCAACTTTGAGCGTGGTATGATCGTCGGTGCCAGGTGCGCCGGATCCAGTACCTCAGAAACGGCCGCCCTCCTGGGCTTTTCACGCACGACAGTGTCCAGGGTTTACCGAGAATGGTGCGACAAACAGAAAACATAGAGTCAGCGGCAGTCCTGTGGGCGAAAACAGCTCGTTGATGAGAGCGGTCGAAGGAATGGGCAAGAATGGTGCAAGCTAACAGGCGGGCCACAAACAGACAAATAACGGCGCAGTACAACAGTGGTGTGCAGAACGGCATCTCGGAACGCACAACTCATCGATCCTTGTCACGGATTGGCTGCTGCAGAAGACGACCACACCGGGGGTTCCACTCCTATCAGCTAAAAACAAGAAGAAGCAGCTCCATTGGGCACGTGATCACCAACACTGGACAATTGAGGAGTGGAAAAACATTGCCTGGAAAATTACAGTGGAAAATTACAGCGAGTTCAGTTTACTTGAGTGGCCTGCGCAGTCCCCAGACCTCATCCCAATAGAGCATCTTTGGGATGAGATGGAACGGGACGTTCGCAGCATGAATGTACCGCCGTCCAATCTGCAGCAACTGTGGTCCAACATCCCTGTGGAACATTTCCGACACCTTGTAGAATGCCCAGAAGAATTCAGGCTGTTCTGGAGGCAAAGGGGGATCCGACCCGGTACTAGATGGGTGTACCTAATGAACTGGTCGGTGAGTGTAGACTGGACTTTGGTCATAGACTGGGTATGACTAGATGTAGACTAGATATAGACTGGACTAAACTGGTTGTAGAATGGATATGACTAGATGTAGACTGGATATAGGCTGTACTTAAACTAGTCGGAGACTGGATATGACTAGATGTAAACTGGATATAGACTGGATTTAAACTAGTTGTATACTGGGGAAACTCAGCAGACTGGGGGCTAGTTAGTGTTTTTGCTTTGTTCATTTGTTTGTTTTCTTTAAAATGTTGATTTGGCCAGACCTGTTTACTGAGGGAGAGCTATTAGTTTTATATGATGATTCATTTATTGTGAGTGGATCGGCTTGACCTTGTGGTCTTACCCCATTGGGATACAGCGTACAGCAAGGGCAACGTTACAGATCGTTCAGATAGAAATGTATTGTGTAGAACAGTTGATTGTCTGTGAGAGTCAAAGATTGCAGTATGATGGGGATTAGTTTGACATTGTAAAGCCCGGCATTTCAGTAAACCAGGACTTTGGGAGAAGTGAAATAAGTGCCCTGATTTCAGGAGTACAGTCATTACAGTCTGTAGAGTGGATTTCATGCGCTCTGAGCCTAATCGAAGCACTAGCTAATGTGCTTCTACAGTATGTGTTTGCTTCAGTGTTCATTGACCTTTCATACAATTCTCAATCAATAGATTTAAGAGGCTTACATTAGTTTACATAGCAGAGCCAAAGTGGCTCTTCAATATGCCACCTAGATAAAATATCCTTTCATGTAGTGTAGACTTTGAAACTTACTAGTTCTATGTATTTTCAACAGTTTTTATTTTCAGTGTCAGTGTTGGTTCACTATTCAGTATTCTACTGAATGGTCTTGTGTTCGGTCAGGTGTTAGGTAAGCATAAATGCTTTCTGCTTTTCTCTCTCGCAAAGTGTAATGTTCTTCCATAAGGTCTTAACATTATGTACTTCGGTCCTGTCATTTCACATGGTAGTCTTAACCAGTCTAAACGTGAGTTAACAACAGTCAATACTGCTATTGATGATGATGATGATGCAGAGTTGTAATACGCTAATGACAACAAATTGTAGTTTGGCTATTTTGGCTGTACTTGGTAATATAATGAAAACTGCTGCATTGTTTTGTATCAATTCATATTTTTCTTTGTAAAGGATTTTTTTTTTTTTTACATGTACAATGTGCATCCTTACTACTAACATTGACTCAATGTGAACAAGATACTGGATGTACTAAATATAAATATATTCTGCACTGGACATCATCTACAGGTCTAAACACAGATGTAAACTCTCTTTCTAGCTGCTCCATTGTGTAGTTGGTCACAACTGTAGGTTACTGTTGTCTCTCAGTTGGTACATTGTGTGCAGAAAATGCTTCTTTGTGAAAATTGCCCTACTTGCATCTCAAAACATCACTTAGCAGAGGGAATTTTCTTCTCAACAGCGCAACAAATCAAACTCAAGAAATGTTTTGATAAGGGGGATTGTTGTGGTTTAGGTTTGCACAATGTGTTCTTGTCGCAATGAAACATGAAATCATTAATTGTAATTATATAGAGAGTGAATAGTTCATCTATTATGTTTATTTTTTCTCTAGATGATAAACAGGTTCTCACATTTGAGTTTGCTATAACTGTATGCCACAATTAATTATCTTTCTTTTTCTTTGTTCTTTTTTTACACGTGAAATTTGTCAAGTGAGTGGAATGTTAGAAAACAGGTCTTAACAGGATCTGGGTTACCTAGTTTACCATCTCTGAGAGAAAAACAACAACATGGAAATGTTTATTTTTGACCGAGAGGAAGGTCAATCCAGATCTGGATGGGAAACTAGTCCGGAAAATCCTATACAATAGAACATTTGAATCATTTTTAAAGATTTTCAAGCTTGAGATATCTAGACCTCTTGAGACCACATTTGATTTAAGAAAAGCCTGTTGTATACTGTAAGCCCAGTACATTTTAATGGTTTTCCAAGAAAACTTTGCAGTCTGACAACGTTATGACATTTTTATTCTTTATGACAAAACATCATATGACTGTGCTCTGCTTCTGTATACCCTAAAGAGATGCATTCTGGGTCATGGGATCAGTCTGTTTTGGTAACATGGTTTTGTGTTTCATACATGGCAACTGTTTATATCATTAGCTGCAACCTGTAAATAATCCACTCTGCAACACTAGACGGATAAGATCTGTTCCTTTGACAGATCCAACTGGAGTACTCAAGAATGCTAAAGAGGTATATTTGATGAAAATGATACTACAAACTGGAAAAAGGAATTAAATATATATTTTTCTCTTGAGTATTGCTTTTTTTCTGCTTTTTTGAACTACATACAGGAGGCCCTGCAAAACAAAATCTCACTAACACATGACTGACAGTTAGACAATCCTAGGATACACACTGCTACACCCCAGCTGTTCTGGCGTATTCCGTTTTCTTCTGTTGCTTTGTTCTCTTTGTTGCACTGTTCCTCACACAAGCTGAGAGTAGTAGCACCTCTGCTTCAGTTCCATTCTAGTCCAGTTCCAGTCAACTCAGAAATTCAATATACAACATGAATTTAAAAAATACACAATATATAAATTAGAGGCATTTCCATTGTCCATGTCCAGTCTGATTCCTCAATTCAATATTTCCAAACTGGTTGGTCATCGTAAAAAAAATAATATATGTTTTACAAGGTCAGCCATAGTACGAGCCCCTGGAGCAAATTAGGGTTAAGTGCCTTGCTCAAGGGCACATCAACAGATTTTTCACCTTGTTGGCTCGAGTATTAGGGTTGCTGGTCCAATACTCTAACCTGCTAGGCTACCTGCCACCCTAGGTCACAGATCAAGACTTCATTGTGACCAGACATATGGTTTTGTCTGTATGAAAGGTTCGGGAACCACTGTCCCATTCAACTGGAGAACCAACAGAATCCAGCCTCTCAGATGTGGTTCTCGTTCTCCCTGGTGCGTGGCAACACCTTGGATCCCTCCAGTTTGATGACCTGCTCCTTGGTGTGTCTACGGTCTCTGCTTCTGAGGAGCGCCAGAATTTGGGTTCCAGGACGTGGGGACCCCTTTTCTCCTCCTGCCCATGACGGGCTGTGCTCCTCGGTAGAGCTGGGCCTGGTGTTGACACAGACCCACACGGCTCAGCAGCATCAGGACGTCCACGTGGAAGGCCAGTGTCAGGATACTGTACAGGAACGGGTTGGCACACGAATTCAACGAGTAGAACAACACCAGCAGCACCTGGAAGAGATGAGCGGGTGTCAAGATGATGACTGATGAGCAGATGATGAAGATTTTGAAGATGAGTGGATGAATGAAGGTGACACATAGGAGGATGAAGGACTTGAATTAAAGTAATTCCATTCCATTTGATCAACCAATTGGATGAAATTGGACAATGATGAATATAGGAGGAGTGAGGTGGAGAACCATTGAGTCGGTGACGGTTATGAGTGGGCGGTGCAGCGCAGCGAACAGGCCATAGAAGGAGATGGGCGCCAGGCACAAAAAGTCGGTGAAGATGAGCACGGCCATGCGTTTAACCATGCTGGCGTCCCCTCGGCTCAACGGATGTTGCGGGTTGTGCACCATGCAGTAGATGTGCAGGTAGCACACACACACCACCACAAACGCCAACACATTCAGCGCAAGCAGGTCTACCACGTAGACCATGGCGGCGGCCGAGTCTGTGTCCATGAGCAGACAGATGCTAACCCTATTGTAGCTGCTAACGGCAGGTAGCGGAAGCACAGCTAACACCAGGCACAGCCGCCAGCCGGCTAGCATTAGCACCGCTACATGGTGGTCAGCGTGTAAACTGACAGCTCGCTGGCGAACACCGTGAGCGCCCCGGCCAGTTGGCAGCCTCTGCCAGTCGATGGCGTAGTGGTGGTACTGGGAGCACATGTAGAGGTCCACAGACGCAATGAGCAGAAAGTACACGCCCATGCAGAGGTCATGGCAAGGTTGCACAGGAGGAAGCGGATGATTGTCAGTTTGTAGTGGCTGGTCAGCAGGACGAACAGGACCAGGAGGTTAGCAAGAACGGCTAGCAGGCTGACCAGCCACACTGACACCCGCAAGCACCCCAGGCTCATCACGACCTCACAGGGGTTGAAGGCATCGGGCAGAGGGGTGCAGGGGACCCCCTCGTCC